TAGCTAGTAATAATATTCAACAATGGGAATCTGTTTCGGGAAGCGGAAGAAATTGACGGCGGAGATAGTGCCGCAAAACCAGCCAACAACAACCATCCGATTGTACGGCTCCCCAAGAAGCACCGCCTACATCCGAGTCGCCCTCAAATACAAGGCGGCAGCCGTCTCGCTCCGCTGCGTGGTCGTCGACGCATGCGGCGGTGACGACCATGACGCGAATGAAAATTTGGCTGTAGCCGTGGAGGTGGCCGGTTCATCATCACCCCAGACGGAGAGGGTTTCAGGGCCTCCCAGCAATCTGCTGCAGTTCATAGACACCAGATTCCCGCACCCGCCGCTTCTTCTTCAAATCCGCTCCGCCGAAACGACGTCGTTAGTGGCGGCGGTGGTTAAGCTGACTGAGCTGCAACATAGGAGCGTGGCGTGGCACTTGGAGAGGTTGGTGAGGTGGGCGACGGATCTGGTGACACGTCAGAATAAACGCGGAGGAAGAGGAGGAGAGATTGATCCGACGGTAGGGACTGCGCGGATGGAGGTGAGGAAGTTGGGGAGGAGCTACACCCAGCTGTTGGAGCTGATGTTGGAACACGCTCAGATGGAGGAGAGGCTCCTCTTCCCTATCTTCAACTTCGCTGATCCAAGTACCTTACCTACCCCTTAATTCTAATTTATTTTTTTTCTATGTTGGGATGAATAAAATCTTTTTTAAGATAATTATTTCCTTTTATATCTTTTATCCTTTTTTTTCAGCTCTGTATATTAGTTTTTAAGACTTTCCAATTGAGCGCGATTTTCACACCAATCTTGCAATTTTTAGGGGTGTAGTTTATTAATATTGTAGACGATTTCTAAAGACCTTTTTTAGGTTACAGCAGATTTCATGAAATTCAATAGATTTTTTGTAGGGACTTTTGGAGATCTATATACACTTTTATTATAGTGCATTTGGATGAGGAAATTTGAAAGGGCAAAGGAATTCACAAATGATTGAATTTAAAATGATGAAAATTAATGTTATAGAATTTGTAGAGTTTCTTATTTGAATAACGGATTTTAATCTTCATTTGTAAAGTTATCTTTTTTTAAAACTCAATTTCTCTTAAAATTGTAAAACTGACGATTTTTAGATAGAATTTAAAGTTTGGATTTTTGGCATCCAAATTCCATGGTTTTTCCCACACTAAATTTCTAAATTTCTATGTTTTTTTTTTATCCAAACACGGAAATTGGTTCATGTCAAATTAGGAATTCTAACTTTTGTCAAAATTTCAAATTTATTTCCCTCATCCAAATGCTAGGTTACTGATTTTAGTAAATTTTATAAACTTATTATATTGATTTCTTCTACATATTTCGTTTGTTAATCTGACAGTGACTTGGTCAAAAGTATGTTCGTTTGTTCTTTTATTGTTATTAGGATTGAGATGTAATATTGTGGAGTGATGCTATAGATTCGTAGGGTATTATAATATACAATTTTCAGTTGAAGTGGATGTGTGGTTACTTAATTATGTGAAAAAAAAATTACTAGACGGGATTAACGAGTTATCTATATTAGGAGTTGAGTATAATATGATTCACATGATACCATACCACTTAATTAATTGCTACGTCAATTTGTAAAAGTTTTATTATCACTAAACTAAAAATTTTGCTAATGTAAAAAAAAAATTAGAGATATTTAGTCATATACCCATTCTTAATACTAAAACTATAAATAAACCCTACACCATTTAATTATTATAAACATACCCAAAAAAAATTCAAAAAATGACAGCTTGACCTATTAAATTTAATTTTGATTATTAAATTACTTTAAAGTCCTATTGAGTGTTTTGGGCTTTTTTTTATAAGGTTTTTGGGGTTGGGTTTGTTTTAAGAAATCAATGACAGTTTTGTAATTTAAAAGAAGTTAAAAATCTTTTTGTTATGTTGTAAACGGGCTTTGAGTGTGTTTCTAAAGTCCATTTCATACATGTTTTTTTTTTTTAATAATTTAGGCTCATATATTGGGTATAATAGTGAATTTCTCAAAAAAATATATAAAAGAACTAACATAACATTTTAATTTAATGGGTTTTGTGTTTGTGGGGTTGGAAAAAGCTTTCCTAGAGGAATAAGTTGCTTAAGTTGTTTTTGAAATCAACTAAGACGGGTAACTGAACTTGTGACTTTTCACAACATTAAGAAGAGAAATATACTAAATCAACAACTAATTGGTATAAGTTGCTTCTTTGAAAGAACAAAGTGTAGACTTGTTGATTTTATCCGGTTAGTCAAGACCCTTCACCAAAATATCAAATTAACTAATCTAAAGGCTAGATGGTGAAGGAAATCTAAGAGGGACTTGAAGGACTAGGGCCCTGGCCCCCTCACATTATTTTTATCTCTCCTATATTATGTTATATATAATATATAGAACTAGTAAAACAACTTATAATTTGAGTTAAAATTCCCTTTAAAACAAATTATACATGAATTAATTAGAAATATTTAGCTATATGTAAATGTAATGATTGAATACTTAGGTGTTTTATATACTTGTATTTTCAATTTCAACCCCCCAATTTTACTATTCTAGCTCCACCTCTGTCTCCATCCCTCTGTCACTATGAAAGAATGAACATGAGATTTGTTCATTGAAGATAATGTGATGATGATGATGATGATGATGATGATGCAGTAATATGTAAGGCTGCAAATGAGGAACATGCAAGGGACCTACCCATCATGAATGGCATCAAAGAAGATATCAAATCCATTGAGGTTATAGACAATGGGAGCCCTGCCTACCAAGAAGCTCTTTCCAACTTTTCTAAGCGCCTTAAATCATTACAGGTTATGTTTAACTTCTTCTAGTCTACTTGATGCATACAACATATAATGGCACACTACATATGCCACAAAGACTGCTTCTAGTCTACTTTATGCATACAACATATAATGGATACATATGCCACAAAGATAAGCATTCTATAATTAAATATATATTTCTCGTGATGCACATTCACTACAAAAAAGCAACATGAATAACCACTTACATGATATCAATAGCATAAGATGAGGTGGCTGAAAGCATTATTCGTGTCTAATAGTATAATGGGCACGAATAAACGTGATTTTTAGCTACACCTTAGTTGTGCTTTTAACAACTTAATCATGTCATTGGTTATTAATTAACTTTCCTTGTAGTGATCATATGCTTGTGACCTTTTTTTACTTTAAGTTTTTTCTATGATCTTGAGCTAAATTGTATTATTTGGAGTAACCAACAGGAGCGTTACAGACAACACTTTCTGGAGGAGGAGAGAGAAGTATTACCCTATATGGAGGCAGCTGAGCTGAACAAAGAGCAGCAACAAAGATTATTGGACCAGTGTGTGGATGTGATGCAAGAATCACACTCACATAATTTGTTCATTTTTCTTCTTCAAGGGCTTCTTCCTCATGAAGCCATGCACTACTTGGACTTGATCTCAATGTGCAGCAACAAAGAACGGACAGCTTCTATGCTTCAAATGATAATTTAGTAAGATCCGATTCCAGTTGTTGGTTTGTATGTGTTGACTTTGATATGCAGAGATTAGCGATGGCATTTCTCATGTCACTAGGAACTACTCGTAAAGTGGATTAATGTCAGAACCATGTAGTTTCTAAAGGCTTTTTCTTTTCATTGATGACTCAAGATTTTCTCTGTGCCCTATTTCTCTCCCATATATGTCATGTGTTGAGACCTGTCCACAAAAGGCATAGAAGTAATCGAACCTCGAATATTGAAGCAATAGAAGACTCAAAATTTGAGTCCGAATACAAAGAAATCAACGGAGGTATTGAATCCTTTGGAAACCTAAGGGTTGTGTAATTATTTTGAATAGTAAATGTTGTGTGTGTTAAACTGAAGGTGTGGCGTTCCTTTTATACTGATTTTGCCCTACTTTAAGTTGGATCCCATCCTACTGAAAATAAGATAATCAAATCAAATCCTTATACTTTTGCTCCCAAGTAATTTCGATGCGGTTTCAGCTATGGCTGCGAGGTGGGGCCAGTTCGTGGCCTGGAGCAGTACCCATGGCCATGGGGCAGTGAGATGGAACTGTGGTCTCAGCGGCGGTGTGCTGCGGTTGGTTCAACTCTGCGCCGTTGTGGTGGCCTAGGGCCATCGCGAATTGCGTCGTCGCTGTGGTCTTGCTTCCAACCATGATTGTTCAGAAGGCTTTGGTTGAGTGATGAATGGAAGGAAACGGATTCCTTATATTTGAGAGCAACACTTTGAGTACATTTCGTTGCTCTCAATGAAAGCACCAAAATGAAATGTTTGTGCAGATATTTACACTGGGGATTATTCTCAAATTGATTCTTTTTGCACTTCGAACTTCCTTCTTCTTTTTCTTCTTCCTCGCTTCCTGTAAAATAAACTGGAGTCAATGGACCACACCTAGGGGGTATTGGCCAAATGCCCTCCGATGTCTAACTCAATTAAATGATCTTGAAAAAGATACGGAGATAACAGAAATGATGGAGGTCTTCTCTCATGAGGAGAGCTGGGTGGCTAGGGGGGGAAGGGAGAGAGAGAGAGAGAGAGAGAGTCTTTCTTGGCATGAAGATTAGCATGGTTTTGGCAACTACTAGCTTGGTCATATATAAATATATATATATATTTAAATGTAACGATAAGCAACTCAAGGATAACCAATTAAGAGTCTTTGAAATCATAGCTAGGTATTTTCCACGAAGGTTGGAGGGGTCACAATGGTCCTGCTTAAAACTCAATCTTCTTAGACACCGAGGGTAACTTTCCTAGACACTGTAATATCGGAGGTTACTCATTGGGGTTACTGAAAGCTAGCTTATTTTGTGGCATGACAGAGAAGATAAGGCTTGGTTGAATTTTAGCCCAAAATAAATTAGCTTGCATGATTGATGTGCTTGAGTGACTAGAGAAGCTTGATTTGGCATGGTTGTGGTTTGCAAGAGTTGCATTGACTTGTGTGTCTGATATTAGTTTTGTATGCTTGATATTGGCTTGCATGCTTGGTTTTGACATGTATATTTGGTATTGGCATGTATGCTTGATGTTGGCATGTATTCTTGGTATTTGGCTTGGATGCTTGGCATTGGCGTGTACACTTGATTTTGGCTTGTAAGCTTGGTACTAGCTTGTACGCTTGACTTTGGCTTGTATGTTTGGATGCTTGGTATGGGTGTACGCTTGGTATTGGCTAAGGTGGCATGGTTTAATATTGCTTTTGGGATATTCAGCACGGTGGATGTCATTTGACAGTAGCCAGAAGTGCCAGTAGATGGTGGAGATCCAATCTTGGAGTTGCGGATGCAATGAGCTTATTGGGTTTTCGTAAGGATGGATTGAGCTTTGATTCACCATTGTGTTTGAGTTTACATCACCAACCCCATAACATTTGAAATTAGCGGACAAAGCCTCGTAAGAAAACCCCACTATCTTCTCAAACTACCCCTAAATACATACCTAGCAAAAAATAAATAATAAAAAATTCATCAACCTCACACTCCACACCCTTACCCACACCCTGTGAGAACCCCTTTATTAAAAAAAAAAAATTAGCCGCTCTGCACGTGCTTTCGTACCTGTGAGAGGCTTTTTTAAAAAAAAATTAAATTTATTTTAGAATTTAAAAAGATAATGGGTAGTTGTGTTCCATAAAAATAGGATCCATTATTTGATTTTTTTAAATAAAAAAAATTTAATATAAAAAAGTGTAAATTTACCATATTATTCGTATTTAATTAATAATTTTAATTCTTAATGTTTGCATTAACCAATGACATTTTTTGATATTTTAAATGTTTTACCGTTCTCTGCCTTTTGCTTTATATATATAGATAATTAAAAAAAAAACTATCACCAGTAAATTTCAATTTCGAATAATAACGCAATTTCAAAAGGAGGACTTTAATGCTCATGGATCTAATCAGTGAACACAAGGATAAGCTTAGCAAATTGTCCGTGTTCTTTGTGTATTTTGGGTGCTAACTGATGACTGTATATGTCTAGTCAGCATATTAGCTGTAGCCAAGGATGGATCTAGGTATGGGCTAGAGTGGGCTCTAGCCTAGTGCTAAACTTGGAGGTGAAAAAAATTTAATATTAATTTTATAAGTTAAAGCCAAGTTAATTAAAAAGAGTCCACCCCTTTTTGTTGAAATTAGCCTATCACAACCGTAAGATTTCATCTCTAGAGGCACCCAACACGTCAAAAATCATGTTTTTCTATTACCCACCCATGTAAGCTATAACTTCATATTTGAACTTGAGAGCTTAGAAGTAGTAGGTCTCCTCCTCTTTAAAATTGTATCAACCTATATCCAATGGGTTCTTTAATATTAGTCAGTTTCTCTCTTACTTTTTGTTTAATTTCCAATTTCAATTGTTATTGTTAGCCTTTTATGATTTAGAATTTGTGTGTTAAATTGTGGGGATTTTTTTCTTATGCAATTTGCTATGATTTTATTGATGACTAGTCATTTTTCTAATATAATCTATTCATTACTTGATGTTTGCTTTTATATAGTCTAGTTGTCTCTTGGTTTTGTTGAATGCTTGTAGCTTGTGATTGTGCAATTGTAAATCTATATGACTGCACTCCCTACGTCTATGTGTACTCCCATCAAATTTAAAAATTGTTAATTCAAGAATAGTTGCTACCACTCATTTTCTTTACATATAAACAAAAACCTATAGCCTATAGCCAATTAACCATGTAAACCCCTCATCAAAAAAACCACGTAAACTTAAAGAAAAAAAAGGGAATATAATGGATCTCCCATTAAAAAATACTAGTCCACCCCTATAAAATTTCATGAGTCCGCCTTTGGCTGTAGCTGTAGATCACATGTATATCTCGTGGTCAGTTAGGAGTTGTTAAGCAATTGTATAAAGCTCTTGTGTGTACGGTAATTGTTCATTAAGAAAATACAAACAATAAAGATCTCTTAAAAATCTCTATATTCTCTTTCTAGCTTTCTTCATATCTTTCCCTGCAAATATCACTTTCGTTATCACTAACAAATAGCGGTATCTAATATTCCTCAGCAACTCGAAGTGCCAACAGTAGTCTTCGGTGCATAACACCCAAAAACGTCCATCAACTCTCCCAAGCCCCCTTTTGCCAACCACAAATTTCACATGAATGCATGCACCATGCACCATGGACATTGAGCTCGAGTAAATACAATATTATACGGAGCCAGCATAGGCCCACCCACGCGAAACCATTCACCCAAACCTGTTTAAACTGATAAAAACATTCCTTTTACACTCCCCAAACCCACTCAAATTTTTTATTTAGTTTTCCTTTCCTTTTAATATTATTATTATTATTATTTTTGTCAAAAAGCATTACAATTTACAAAACCCAATCCCACATCACTCACCCCCACGACTCTTTCTTCTCCTCCTTCCCTAAACAGTTGCTTGCTTGGTAAGGTAAGTTTACTTGGTTTTCCTTTATAATCCTAATGTTAGAGAGCAAGTTAGGAGAGCATATTTGCAAAAAGGTCCCTTACAAGCAATTTGGAAAAAACATTAAGAAAATTTAATCCTGCTTGGTTTGATGATTTTTCTACTTTGTTGGAATACAGTATAGAAACAGATTATGCACTGTCTTTGCTGCTACCTTTTAAAACCAAATATTGGAGGAGAACAGGCAGGTGGTGATTATTTTGTGAGTGAAGGTTTTTCTATTGGAAGAAGACAGACATTATGCATTAATATATGAACTTACTCTTTAAGTATGTTGTTGAAATTTTTTACTCTTACTTTGTTGTTTGGAGATGCCCCAATGATTTTTTTTTCTGGCTCCGTCCCTGTTTGTAGGTACATATTATTGTTGAACTCTGAACATATATGTACGTTAATATATATACCTGCAATGTTTGTACAAGTACATAAATTAATATTAAATATTAATGTGCAAAACTCTCGTTGAAATTTAAACTCTAAAAAAGAAGAAACGAAAGTTGGAATGGATGATTTGTTTGTTGTGCGGAAGCGTCAAACAACAGTGAGTGAAAAATAAACAACAATAATTGGCAAGAGATAAAAGGAACAAAACAACACCAACAAGAACACCAAGATGTATACTGGTTCGACAATGCCTACATCCAATTTGGAGACGACAGAGTATTCCACTATAATCAAATGAGAGAATACAATAATGTTTAACACTCAGAAAACCCAAGCCCCACCCAAATATACCCAAGCTCACACATGCAAGAATACAGAGGGAATACAAATTGAGTACAGTTTGAAAAATGGATAAATTCACCAACGGCAGCCATAATTCTTCTGCTGTATAGCTCTAATTTTTCCTTCTTCCTCACTTCTTTCTCTCAATCTGCATCTGCTGGAGCAAATGGAGCGGCAATATATAACCAAGGATTGTCAAGACAATATTATTATAAGCTAATATAATAATCAAAATGGCTCACGCAGAAACCAAAACATAATATCTAAACAATTCCTTTGGTTATCATCCAATACCACATCCATTAAACTAGCAGTGTTATTACACTAGACTGTAACATTACAGCCAGTGGTGGATCCAGGATTTGAAATTCAACTGGGCGAAACTTACATTAAAAACTCGAGGTTATGAGTGAATCTCATTAATAAACATAAAAATATACACCTAGTAGGAGGATATAATGAGCCTTACCCTCAAATGCATCTCTATACATAAATAAAAGTATAGCGAAAAAA